CATGTATAGAAGAGTTGCTATTTTTAATAAAGCCTTTACCTAGGAGTTTCTAGAGCTTATTATAAATAATATAATTCTTTTCCTCTAAAACAGCTTAGGTCTTATACTTAGGCAGGGGAGTGTCTAGTTATAGAAGAATAGTATAGTTATAGTTTTAATAGGGTAGCAGGTTTCCTACCTTTTATTATAACTATATATTAACCTATAGATAGAAACATTTATCCAGGCGAGTATATAGCTTATTAGGTAAGTATATCTTTTATTTCTTTATAAATTTGTTGTACTTATTAACACTAAGGGCGTATAGTTTAAGCGTGCTATCGGCCTCTAGTATACTAATAACGTGCCTAATTACAGGTGTATTAAACAGGGAGTTATTTAGTTTAGGTATAAATTCCGGTCTATAAATCTAAATAAGGTTCTTAGGCTTAGCGCGTTAAATATAGCGTTCTATAGAACTAATAAATGTTGCAAATAAAAATATAGATTAAAGCTTATTAGGCCCGGCGGCGTAGAAGGGAGCCCCTTTGCAGAAAATTTTAGCTAGCACGCTATTATAGTAGTAGTATAGATTACAGCATTATAATTAATAGAAATAAAAGCTTTTCTTAATAAAGTTAATTTCTGGATTATAAGTTTTATGCTAATCTATTCCTAGAACTAATAGAATATACCCTAGGTCGGCAATATAGCAGACTAGCTGCTTAGTATAAAAACCTATAGCAATATTAACAATTGCGGTATAAGTAATAGATTAAGAGAAGTTGGAATTGTTGATATATATAAGGTAATAAGGTAAATTAAAAGGAATTTAATAAATTTTATATTTACGCGTAAATAATTAATCTATAAAAAAGGATATTATACTATTATTAGAAAGAGAATATATATAAATAGTTTAATTACTGTCTAAGACTATAGAATAAAAAAGCAAATACTAACTACCTTCCTTTAGCTAGAGCTTTATAATATTATACTGGGTACAGGTAATAGCTGTAGTAGAAATATAAAGTTCCGGCTAACTTTCCTTATTTTTAATATACTCTAGTACTTCCTATAGCTAGAAAAAAGTGTTAAACTATAGAAAAAGTTCTATAGCCTGCTTTATTCTGTGCTTTTTAGGTGTTCTATAATAGGTACCCCTATATTAGCTTTTATACAGTTTCCTAGGCTTTCTTTATAGGTCTAGAAGGTTATTAGTAGAAACTAAGTTACTGTATTTAGAGGAAGTAGATAAAGAATAGAGGGTAGATAATAGGGTAGATAATAGGGTTAATAATAGGGTTAATAACAGGGTGGATTTATAATTAATTATAACGGGTTCTTAGGCGCGACTATACATAAGAACTACTTATTTTCCTAGCCGGAAAATGTAATATCTATAGCGCGGAGAGGAAAACCGCTAGTTATCTAAATAGAAAAGTTCTAAAGGGGGCAGTTGTTATTAGTAGCGCGGTAGCTAACGTAATAGCAGTAATTGCAAGCGCTAGCTTAACGCGTCTGCTTCTTATTTTCTATAGAAAGCTTACCTATACTCTAGATATAAGCTAGCTTATTCTTAGGCTTTATAGTATACAGGCGCTGTTCTATACCTAGCGCAGCTATAATAGTATAGGTGCGCGAAGCGTTTAGAGTAGTTATAGTACCGGTAGTTATAGTAGTAGTTCCTATTGCAGGCGTAGGTAAGTATTCTTTACAGCTATAGCTATAGCTATAAGTAGACTAAGTAGTCGCTGTAGATAAGGTGGCCTAATAAGGTTAGAAGATAAGGGTATTATATTTCTTAGATTGCTGGAAAGCAGTATCCTATATATCTAAAGTGCGAATATATTATATAAAGTTATTAAAATAGTAATAAACTACTCTATTTACTAGCTTAGATTATAGGTGCAGTATAAAATATATTTTAAACTAGTAGATAAGCTTAAAGGGGCTTTAGTTAAGGTTGCCGGTAATATTAAGAAAATAGTTATAAAAGGCTGTAAATAAATTATTGCCTATATAGAAAGTTTTAAGCTATATTAGGGCTTTAGCTTTAATATTATATTTATTATATCTGTTATCTAAAAAGCAGAGGGCTTCTACTTTATTATAGATAATCTATTAGCGGTAATATACCTATACGCGCTTAAATAGTCCGCTAAATAGGACGCTCTTAATATAGTTAAGCTTAAAGTTGTCCGTCTGCTCTAGAAACGCGTAACAGATCTTAGTAAGAACCTTACTGCGCTAGATAGGGTAGCTATTAGTATCCGTTCTATTAAATAGAGCTAGGTTAGGCTAGTAGTAGCTAGGCTGTAAGGAGACTAATAATAGGGGCTAGGTATATAGTAGTATATAGCTACTATAGTAGCTGCTGTCCTTATAGCAATAATTATTATATAGAGAGGGTAAGCAACAGGCCTAGTTATTGCCGCTACTATATATATTAGCTATAGGTAGAGCGTATACGGGCTTAGTATAGTTATTATAACTATAGTTATTAGGCCTGCTAGTAGGCTGTCCTCCGGCCCTACTATCTATCTGCTAATAGTTAATATTATTATTGCGCCGCCTATTCTTATTAAAATAAACAGGTTCTTTAGAAGTTTTAATAGTAGGCTTAGACTGTTATTATTAAAGGTTGTATATATACAACTTAGCAGCTTAGAGTTTAATATTAGTATAGTTAAGGCAGAGCTTTAAGTTCCTAATCTTCTTATTTATAGTATTAAATTTATTATAGAGGGTGTTTAAGTTCTTTTTCTATTCCTTTATACTAGCTCTATACTTATTAATATAGATAGTAGTACTCTTAACTAAAGCGCGCAGCAGCTTAAAGGCTTAGGTAGGCTTGCTATTTACTTATGCGCGGAATTCTATAGTATTCTTAAGTAACCTACCTTCTATTTATTTAATAAGATTGTTAATATTATGCAAGTTAAGGAGAAGGTTAAAAGTAATAGGGTTCTTATCGGCCTAAGAGTCGGCCGCGATAGTGTTGGATTCCTAGGTAGTAAAGGCCTTAGAGATGGCCATGTTAAGGATTTTGCTAATACGCTTGCGCCGCTTATAAAGACAATTCTATTAATTCTTTTCGCGTAAGGATAATTATGTGAGGTTCACCGGTGGTGTATTTTCATCCTTTTTAAAGATATCACCTTATATATCACCTTGTGTGTTAAAGAACTCCTAGTAACTAACCCCCTCTGCACCTGTTGGAATATTGGAGTAATAGGGTCGCCCACCGCCGGAGGGCGTATTGAGCTAATCGGGCATACCTGGTTGCTTGTAATAGGGCCTAGGTTTCATGCGAGTGTAGGAAATAAGTGAGTAAGTGAGTGAGAAAAGGAAACGTGTTAGTAGAGGAGGTTAGTGATTGAGTGATTGTATGGCCGAATCTCGAAGCCAGCGGCACCAGTATAGGTGTGCGCGCGCACGGCGGTGCAGCCGTGCAAAAAGAAATCGAGGTTTCTGTGTTTCTGGGTTTCTAAGAACGACGCAACCTAGTGTCAGGTTCGTGGCTGGAAAAGGGTTGTATTGCTATTGACAAGGTTGCGTGGAGAGGAGAGAGGCTCCGGCCACGGGCCTGCTATATAGTTGAGCGCGCGCCAGCAGAACCCCGGGCGCCGGCAGAACTCCGGGCGCCGGAAGAACCCTCGGCCCGGGATCACGTGACGTCCATGCACGTGATGATCCGAGGCCTCGATGACTACCAAGAGAATGCTAAGGAACGACGTGACAAGAGTACGCCTTTATAAATATAAACTAAGTCTTATATATTATCTCTTTATTAACTAGTTAGTTAGAGTACTTACGCTCTTAGCAGCTCGAACTCTATACGTATATTATTTTCCCTATAGTATTATAAGATGGTTTGTATAGGAAAGGGTGCTAGTGCAATAAGTAAGACTAATAAGAAATTGTGGTGTTAAATAAGTTGTTTGCGGTTTTAATGCGCCAGGGTAGAAAAAGCTAACTTAAGCCTTTGAAGTTATAAGTAGGGTGAGTTTTAAGGCTCTAGAATGTGCAATCGTGATACAGATGATGGTGAACGAAGAACGGGAGTTCTGGGAGCGACAATCCTGCCCGTGCGCAGGCAGTGGCTCTTGCCAAGCCTCGTTCCCAGTATATCACGTGCAATGTGTCAGGGATTGAAGTTGGGCGGCATATTCCGCCGCGCTAGCTAGGCAACACACCAAAGTAACCTTTGTTGCATTCACATCTCGCAGGCTCCACCGTGCTATTATTTGATTCCTGTAGCCTCCAGGTCTTTTTTGCACTACCTTTTAGCCTTTCCCGACGCCTCCCCAAGCCGCGCAGAAACGACGCCAGCTTGCTCTCCATGGCGGTGGCGTCTGCAGCTTGTCAACGCTTCAGATTTTGAAGCAGCTGATGTACGTAGACCACCGACCCGGAATCACCACTGATGGTATTGTAGAATTATGGGACTCAGGATAAAACCGAACACTGCTTTGAACACAGCCCTGCGACCCATGCAACCAGAATTCCGCAAAGGTGGATTGCAGAGAGCAGCAGGAGGTACACCGCTAGGAGTGATGGCAATGTTGATGTCGTAGCTACCGAAGGACGTCAACGCCCGCGCAGAAGACGCAAAACGAATGGAGCACCGTGCTAGGAATCATCGCGCCGACGAGACTCACCTCTATCTAACAGACCCTCTTCCAGGAAATTCCTTGGTCCTTTAACAGTTTCGAAAACGCATCTGACCTGAGGAAGCATCGATCCAATTCTGAAGTGCAAATTGGAGGGTCATTACTGTTCTCATCCACCCATAGGTACCTGGAATCTAGCCTATCTCCTTTCTATCTCTGCAATAGTGATCGTCAGCCAGATGTGCACAAGTGCACCACTTCCCTGAGGGGGTTTCAGAGAACGTTGTTCTACAGAAACGGATGCTGTCTAGTCTGAACTTAGTACAAGGACAAGTATGAATGGAACAATTTCTTCGATTGTCGAGTTCATCAATGGGCCGATAGAGTGACTCCATTAAAATTGCCGGTGCTCGGAGTGCTGAGGCCTCCGCTGAAGCTGCGGGTGGAAATTCTATAGCTCTATATGGCTGCGGACTAACAGGTGGCAGGTTTGATGCTGCCATGCTTTGTGAGAAAAAAAAGTCGAATCGCTAGGAAAAGGATCGTACAATAACTGCTGCGATCTGCTTTTATGGGTGCAGTATCGTGATGTTCAACTGGAGTATAGGCTTGTTCAGGATGCTCGTCTTCTTGAAGCCAAGTGTAGATGAAGATAGGGAGCTCGAGTACGAAACCCATGAGCTGTCGTCTGGTGTGTATAGTCTTGTGGAAGATCCTGACGGATGTCGCGACGCCCGCATCTGCCCTGTCTGACTTGAAGTAATAGCGTGCGTCATGCCAATTGCCATGGTCAGCGAAGGCTCAGATGTCCATTCTGCATGGGGGTAGCTAGAGTTCATAACCGGTCTCGGGTAGGGAGGTTGCAAAATTTCCTGCCTCGCTTAAGGGTTGCCTATAAACAACGGCACATGTGGGAGACCTTGGGAGGAGTTTGTGGAGAAAAGGTGACCGCCGCTCTCGTTCTTTATTTTGGGCCCGTCCACACTTGGCAAATTGCTCCTGTCTCGTTTATCCAGTTCTTGAAGCAGACATCCATTTTTCTTCAGTATATGGTTCTCTTGCTTCAGCCACTGATTTTCTTTCTTGAGCTCCATAATCAGTTTCTCAAGAGATTCAATCACGTTCTTGGCCCGCTCACGCATGGTCCGCTGAGCTTCTCTGTCCCTGGCCCGCTTGCGCTCAAGCTGGGTGGGGGTAAGACGCAAAACACTGCGACCAGGTTTCTTGGTGGACCTAATTGCTCACTTGCGGTCAGAATCGGGTGATGTATACACATGGCTGTATTAAGCGTTATATTTACCCAGTGCTACCATTTTCTGTCGCCTCATAGACACGCCCGCCTGATAGGCTCGGCTTCATGAGTCTATCATGTTCAAACGAATGCTCTGCGGAGATATTCAGGCCTAACGGATGCTGATTGATATACGCCGCGTGTTGGACTGTGGGATCAGACATGGCCAACTTCTGGCGACTGTGGAAGTTGAAGCTAGATGAGAGGGGACACCATGTCATACATCTTCGCATGCTTGTTTGGCTTTAAGATTGCCATGTGCGCACGTTCAGAGCAGCCCCTACGCTGACCGCTACAGATGACCGCTTTCGATCCAAAGGCACGACGGTGGACTTTAGTGCGCCACCTTCCAGGTCCGGGACGATGGTACCGGACATCTAGTGGGAATGCACAGAGCCTTGCAATTGTGGGTCACGCCAATTTTCCCACTTGGTAGCCCGTTCAATGGACAGGGATTCCACGGCACAGTCTGGAAGGTTCATGAAGCACATTATGACAAGGTGGCAGCTGGCGTAGGAAGGGCAAAGGATCAGTGAGGAAAGCATGAGTTGTATTGAGGTGCTAATGAGTGGCTATATAGTGAAGAGAGACCAGGGGTTGCAGGCAGCAACGGTGACAAAACAACAGGTGAACCCTGTCCAGCTGAGAAGTGAACCCTGTACAGCTGAGACGCGTAGACAGACGTGCGTAGGAGCATTCTAACTGGCTGCCACAAGGTTAGCATTGACCCGTAGGAGGGACCTACTGCAGGTGGGTCCACCCCACCTTGCGGTTTGTGCTAAGTGATTTTGCCGTGAGGGTTGATCGATGCCGGACCCGAATCTGAGCGTGGCTTCGATGCTCTCCCCGACTGCTCTCGTTCGAGTTGACACTTGGCGTCGGGTGGGCCATTTCTGGCTCGCCGAAACTATCGCAGTGGCTTGCGTCGAGTCCTGATCATTGCAGGCGTCAGACAAAGTTTTCGTGAGGGCCGCGATGTAGGATCGAGGAAATTTTACGCTTCGTGGGACAATTAAAAGGATGCGCTCATGCTGGAGACGGTGAACTGAGAATGTTTAAGTATTGTTTTGACAAGCTTGCCAAGATTAGCTTTCAACTAATCCTGTTTTGGTTAGGCGCATATGCATTTGCCAGTCGGTCAGGATTGAGGCCACCCCCGATACATATCCGCTTGCAAGCTTAAAACCAGCCTTACTTTCTCTCTCGCTCGCAGAGCGTGGCCTAGCCTTTCAGTCTCAAGGGCTCGTCTGCAGAAGGTAATGTCGCTCACTCTAACTGTGCTGGCTCTGCTCACATCATCCACAGCTGAAGTAAAAGAGCCGTCCTTCTCCTCTGGAGTTCCGAGACTTACACCTCACGGCTACACGTTTACTGGTCGATACAATCACCTTAGCCTTATGTTTTAATTGTTATAGAACCTTATAATCCTTTAGATCTATACTAGCACAGCTCCGAACGCCACTACACCCTTTTAACGTTAACTTTCACCAAGAGAGAATTGCGGAAAGAAGAACTTCCTTAGTCCCTATATACGGGAGAACCGGTCTGGCCTCGTCACTCTTAAGAGCGATTGCGAAATAAGGCAGCTGCGCTTTAATTTATTGCCGCATATATAATAATCCCTATGCCGCAGTTTAAAAATATCTATATATATAACGGATTACTCTATCTTTAGACTAAATATTCGGACAGTATTTAACTTAGTATAATTAATCCCTCTTAGATAGCCGATACTATAGCAAAAGTAGATAAGATAATAAATTTAACTATACTACCTTAACTTAACAACTTCTAGCAAGACTTAATAGGAAGTATAGATTTATTGCTTCCTATTTTTCTACTAAGTCGGATTATATATCTAGATAAGTAATCTAAGTAGCCTTAAAAGTGTTTAGATGCCTTAGAGTATACACTATATTATAACAACCTTAGCTAGTATAATATTATAGTACACCCGGAGACCTATAAAATTATAGCTATTATAGATTAGGAATTCTATAGGTATTAGCTGGCAGAATTTAAACTTCCTCTTTAGAAAAACTCGCGGGCGGAGAATAAGGAGATGTATCGGAAATATACTTTACAGGTAGACCTTATTTTTTAGACTTGGTTTTAAATATATAAAAATATTTACAGGCCTAATAACACCTAATAGCGGGAAGCTTTATATATTTTACTACTAATCCTATTCTTTAAATATCTAAAACAGTTAGAGCCTTTAACTTACTAACCCTACTAGTTGTTTCTCTATTACTATTATATTAAACGCATAACGGAGAAGCTACTAAGTGCGCACTTGCGGATATAGATTCGATCGTAACCGCGGTTATAATTGCAGGAGGTTATTTATACACTGGGTTGTAATTAATATACTATATAGAGGAGGTTCTAGCAGTTTATAGTCCGAGTTTTGCATGCATAGAATATGGCGTTTTCCGCAGCCTTAGACAGATATATCCTATAAGCGCGCTAACTGCTGTATATATAGGTGAAAATATAGGCTTATAAACGTAGACACCTAGACGCTCTAGCACGCCTAAATTTATTAAGTGCGTTTTAATATTAATAACCTAAATCGGGTGTATCTACTAAACCTATAAGGCGGCTAGGCGGGGGCGTAGTTAGATTAAATTAAAGGACTACTATAATCGCGGATTAACAGTATATATATAAGGTAATCCGGAACCCAGAAGGGCTATAGATAAAAAGGCACGGGATTTAGGCAATTGCAGCCGCCGGGCATATAACGTATCCTTGCGGAAAGAGCTGCAGACGTGCTATATTAAGTGGTGCTTAGTTGTTTAGGTGCTTAGCAGGATCTTTATGCGGCCGGCGAATAGTTATAGGTTCTTGCCGCTAATTAGTTGTTTATTCTAAATATTTACCTATATATTTTGCTACCTGTGCTATTTACTAGACTAGGAAAACGGAGTAAGTGCGAGTATTTAAGAACCTTATCCCTTATCGGCCGCTATTAACTCTACCTTTTACCCTTACCTTTTTTAAAAATCTACTAAAAATACCTACTTCTTTATATATTTATTGTCTTACTGTTATATCTGTTACCTAGCCTTAATACCTAAGTTATAGCTTTGCACCCTATATAATATGCAATAATATAGAATATAGTTAAAATCCGCCTTAAAAACACACGCTAAAATAAGGTAGAAACCTAAAGCTCTATACTAAACCCTCTGCTAACCGTAGAGTAAAGTATTTATTTGCCCGCCCGTTTAGAAAGGTTGTAATTCGGAAGCATTTTTTTTATACTTATATCGGCGACTATATAAATATTTTTACAAACCACTATTATATTATAGTAGTTTAGGATTAGATAAGTTAGGCGCAGATAAGTGGTAAATTAGCACTAATAACAAGCCAGCAATCTGCAATATTCACCTAGAAAAGGCTTACTATTATTATGCTTTTCCTTAAGTGCGTAACTAGTTAACAGTACTAAGTATTTGCGGGTGGAAGTTCCTTAGTTATCTGTTTCTTAATATTTATTTAAGGTTAAAAAGCTTAATTTTAAGTAAACCTAAGTTAATATAAAATTAAGTATCTAAAAAAAGTCTATTAAATATAAGCTAAAGCTTAGACCTTAATTATAATCTTCCTTTTACTATCGCCTTCTAAAGGTAAATAATAAATTCCCGGCACAACCTTATTATTGCCTTATTTTATAAGTAAGTATAACTCTTATCCTTTTATTACTATATTACCTACTATAGTCGGCTTTTCTATTACTTTATTATTGCCTTATTGCAGAGGCGGCTTTTAATAGTGTTCTAAACCCGTTTTCTTCGCGCGTGTGCGTAAGCGTAGTTCTTATCCTTTCTTTACTATATTCTTTACTATAGTCGGTTTTTCTATTAGGCCAGACGCTTATAATATATCTGTAAGAGTACTAGGGAACTAATTCTATAATCGGTTAGCAGTAGTAGAGTAGGTTTTAAAGTATATTTACTTACTATTGCTATTAGCATATTATATACCTTAGAGTCTTCGCTAGCTAATATATAAGCAGCTGTAAGTTTTTAAAAGTTATTAAGAGCTTTAAATAACTTATCTACTATATATAATATTATCTCTACTAACGCAGAAGGCAGTCTAAAGGTATATATAAAAGCTCTTTTTAATACCTTTAAGGCATTTATATTAACCTCTATATTGGAATAAATCTAATAAAATATTAGTTATATATAGAGTATTGTAATCCAACTTATATAGAATTCCGGAGGGTACTTAGTTATAGGATTATTCAACAAAAAACAGCCTCTAGAAGCAATAATTAAACCGGATAAAAAAACTAGTAGACTGGACTAAAAAACCTGCAGACCGGAAGAGAGGTATCCTCTAATCCTATAAGGAAGTGCCTTAGCTATTAACTGCACAAGGAATATAAGATAGAAACGCGGTATAGGAACGCAGAAGCCCGAAAAACAGGGGACGAGAACAGCGGTAATATAGAATAAGAGAAGGCAAATATATATATTACTAAAGTCGGGCGTTTAGGACAGTAAACGCAAGTCCTACCTATGCCATCGCTTTAATATTAGTACGTATAAGGATAAGAGATAGTGTAGAGAAAGGCCGTGCGGGAGACTAGCAATTCCGAAATATATTAGCAACAGGGATTGCTGTGTTGTAGGGGGCGGAAGCAGGCCGGAGATCGGTGGAGGAGGGTCGTGCGGGAGACCAGCAATTCTAAAATATGTCGGCAGCAGGGATTGCTTAGGTTAGAATAATAGACCGTGCGGGAGACCAGTAATTCTAAAATATATCGGCAAGTACGGAAGCCGGTAATCGGTAAGAAGAAAGGCCGTATAGGCCGCTAGCTCTCCGCGTTGCTAGCGCTTCGCCGTTCTAACAGTCGAGTAAGGCACTGTTTATAACATACTACTCGACTTTCCAGGATAACTAGTAATCTAGACGAAGTCCTTAAAATCCGTTACCTTGTAGATTTTTCCGACTTTAAGCATATACTCGATTACTATAGCCTTGCTCTGCGGCGCGCAGAATGCTTTTATTTAATAACGTCTGGGTGGGCATTAGCATGTTTATTCGAATATCTATTAAAGTACTTTAAGGGCCGCAACGCGCGAAGGAAAATTCGAAAGAATATACTTCTAGTACTAAAGAGAAGTTATCTAAAGGTCTATTAAATTATTTTCCTGCTTGCGAGTATAATACTATAGAAAGAAATCGACTATCTTCTTTAGGAAGAACTTATTAAATAGATAAATTAACACCTTACTATATCTAAGATTTCTGCAAAATTCCTAGATAAATTTAAAGACCTCTGCAATAAAGACTTTCCGGCAAATAAAAAAGTGCAGCACTTATAAAATTATGCGTAGTCCTTACTGCAAGAAAGCACTGCTAATAGAGCTATAGTTTTTCTAGATCCACGTCCTAATAAAAAGGGTTTCCTTAATATACTATATAATCCTCCTACTAAGTCACCGCAATTAGATTTAGATAAACCTACTAAATTACTGTAAGTAAAGTCGGATAAATCCACTAAGTTACC